CCCCAAAACCCCAAAACCCCAAAACCCCAAAACCCCAAAAATTCCCATAAAAAATCCCTTAAATATAAAAATGTCATCCCCAAACTCCTTCCCAACCCCTCCTTCCAAAGTACCCCTAAAATCTCACCTCTAGTCCACTAACCCCAAAACTCCCTTCCCCAACCCCCACTTTCCACCTCAAAATCCCAAGTACGAACAAACCGCCACGCACAAATAAACCTAACAAAGCAGAAACCTTGCAACAAGTTACTGGTATTTTAGCTGAGATTGGCCTGGACTTAACAACAGGTATGAGCTTGAAGGTTAAGAGACTTTAGAGTTGAAGAAGGTAGTCATAGAAGAGGTGGATAAGTTTGCGACTGGGAAAATAGATTCAAAAGCTTCAGAGAAGAGACTGAATGAGAGTCAAAAGATGGGGAATGATACTGATGAGGCGAAATAAAAGGGAAGCTGAGCTTAAGAGAGTAAGTTAGGATTTCAAGAGAGTTTTTGCACAATGAAGTCTGTCTACGAAAGAGGAGGAAATTTGATGTATAATTTTATGAAATAGCATGCTCTAGATGGTGCTTTTGATTACTCTGTTAATAATTTAGAGAAAGTCTTATTTCATCCTGTATAATCTATGCTAATCATTGCCATGAAGTTTGGTAAATATGCATTATTTTTAAAGCTCTATTCTGACTCACTTCTAGCTGGTTAGTCAAGATGTCCAAGCAAATATGCCACAAAATCGGTTGAAATTTCAAGTAATACCAAGAATAACGTCTAGAAAGAAAGCCTTTACAAAGAAATGAGACAAGAGTCTGAACGGATAATTCAGCAGAACAAGTTATCCCCTCTTAAAAACAGTTCTTCTGCTTATCAAGAAAGCCAAGAAAACTCAGGATTGCCACCAGAGTCTCTATATAGTAGCAGCAATGGGAGGATTGTGTTGGCAGCACAACAAGCCATAGATCTTGCCAAGAAGAACCTCGAGGACACGAGTACTCTTCACAAGAAGCAGATTAAGCTGTATAAATAAGTTGATTCAGGCTCAAAATCAGAAGGTAAATGACTGGTATAAGAGGAAAACCCGCAAGTCAAAGCATATTGACATAATCGGCATAATTGACAACCAGCCCAGGATTGATGGAGTAATCAAGGATTATTATCACGGCCGCACTATGTTCAGCAAGACAGTGAAAATGGAGAATTCTTCTAATAAGAATAAAGGAGGGTTCTGGAAACTTGCTAACTTTACTGAAGACGAGTTCAATGAGTTATATAACCTCACTGTCTTGACTCAGCCAGGTTCGCTTAATGTTAATCTTTAGAGAACGAGGGAAACCATCTGGAAATGAGACTCATTAGGAACAGGAATGGCAGAGGAATGGGGGATGCGTTTCTAGAACGCAGAAATAAAATTTACAACCAGCAAAATCTAGATACAAATACTGTAACAATCATAAGAGAGGTCGTAGTTAACCATTATGAGGAGAGTCCAGATCTCAGGAGATTTTTACCCAGACCGTCTAACTTCAGAGCTTATCGTACACTTTGTTGTGATTCTATAGAGCAACATTCGCAATCATTTTTGATGGAAGTTTTTCAAAATAGTGGTAAGCCTAGCTGAATTAATTTTTAAGACTCAAGAAAGACTGAGTCAGGATCAATAAGCAACCAAATGAGTAAGAAAGCTTTAGTTAAATCTCTCTAGGATTCACAGAGACACAGCGCCTTCCACGCCAAAGGCACACAGGTAAGGTTTCTCAACTCTTTTAATTCGATAAACTAAGGAATTTGATTCTAAATTCTCATAGCTAACCATTTGAGACCTTCTGAAGAATCAAAAGCAGGTAAATAGAGAGTTTTATTCAAACAATAGGAGTAAATCAGCCAAATCTCCCTTTTTCAAGATCTCCAACCAACAAAATAGAGGAAGAGTCAATGATAACCTCTTCTGCATCCTCTATCTCAGCGAGTAATGTTCCTGAGGACTCTGAGGTATTAGATTATTCAGGTAAAAACTTTGGTAAAAAAATAGGCAGAAAGGGACGAAAACATCGTAACAGAAGATCAGCGAAACCTGAGAAAAAGTATAAGCTCCAACTCATGGTGGACATCCAGCCTATCATCCCAGAGCTGGACGAAGGCTTCCCAGACGATGACGGCTGGGCCTCTGACCCAGGCGAAGAAGATATTGATATTACATATTTCTAACCTGATTTTAATTTCTAAACCTCAACTAAAAGTCAAAAAGAGGGGTTTTGGGGTTTTGGGGTTTTGGGGTTTTGGGG